TATATGTATACATACACGTACACAAGAGTGCATAAACTTTGCAATGAGAAACTAGTTGCAAGCAAACTGGAACACGCATTCATTGAACGCCGAAAACAACAACGGTTTCGAATCAACGAAAGAGATTTAATAATCTTCAGGTTAACTTAAATTTTAAATACTTATCAATCTCAAATATGTTCTCATATATTGCGCAACAAAAACATTGCTTTTACCAAGAAAAGTTCCTTGCAAATTATCATCCTTCAAGATTAGTAGAAGTGAAAGTCAGTTGTTTAATTCGCAATAATAATATCAAAAGTTAAAAAAAAAACATATAAATCATATAAGATTTTATCAACTCACGAAAATTAAGCTCATAATCTTTGATATATTAGGAAAATGTAAACTTTAAAACGTTAAATTGAAGTCAAATTGGAACACATCGATAATAAAAACAATTATGTCTTAATATTAGTAAGTTTGTACGGAAATGATCAAATTAATCAGACTAAGCAACTGTATATAATCTTCAAAAAAAACTTAAATTAAACACGAATACAAATAAAAAGTTTATTACTATCTCACAAAAGTTAAGTAATATGTACCTTGTATATTATTTGGATAATATTCTTTAAGATCTAGAAGCAAATACATTTGAAGCTATTTGTAAAGGCTACAATTTGTTAACATATTCTTACTTACATTCACTGAACTAACAAAATTTTCTAAAACTCTAACAAATATATATAGAAATAAAATATGATCGATCAACTTAATTTTTAATCGAAACATGTCAATAATGGAGGCAAGGTGCAAGCACAATATGCAATCAGCCGAGATGAATTTGCATTTAGATCAAGCAAATCCAATGTGTCGCCCACACTGAACGATTGAGTTCCAAATTTACACTTTTCCTCTGAAATTATATATATTAGCATATTGTTTTTTTTTATCAAGAATCAAATTAATTACCGTTAGATGTTTTGTTCGAACGTATAATATTCTCCACTCTGCACGAAGATGCTAAGAATAAACGATTATTTATAAGAATTTTTATAAATATAATTGGTTTTTCACTTACGACAAATAAAATCCTTGGGACAGCAAAGCGGTGAATGCCTACAATAAAGCGGAGCACAGTTGTCTACAATTTGTTTAGAATATAGGATTTCCACGTCGCATCTCATTTTCCTGCAGAAAGGCTCCACCAATTCTCCTTGAAATCCTTGCTGGCAAACGCAATCCATGCAAGTCCTGCAGGGTTGAAAATACTGTCCTGGGTAATAAGTTCGATCATTAGATACGCAGACCGGAGTAGATGCAGTGGCTGTAACATGACATATTTAATGGTAAACTAATTGTTAACTAATTTGTATTTAACATACGGCACTCAATTTTTCGACAACAGCTATTTAAAATGTGTCCTGCATAACATCCTCTTGGAATTACTGGTCCGATGCCTCCTCGAAACTGGCATGGTTTATAACAGCTAACGGATGATCTACAATCAAAATTTTCTTTTTATATTATATTTTATATTATTTTTATCATTATAATTACGTATTATTTTTGATATTGCAAGTGCATTGTCTGCAAGGCCTCGTTCCATTCAAAATTTGTCCATCTTTGTAAACATGTCCTTCGAATAAACAACCGTCCTTAGGTATATGATAATCAGAACAATTGTAGGATTCGGGACAACCATTTTTATCTAAATTAGGTTTGCATTTAATTTCATCGTATAGGAATCTTCCTGTAACTTGGCTGCAGTTGGAATTGGCTAAAAAAATTAAACTTGTAAATTAATAGCAAATATGAAATGAATACTACCTTTAATGGTTATTGCAAAGAGCAGCAACAGCGGAATTGTTAAGTAATGCATACTGTTTTCTTAAACTAAAATACTTTAAGATTTTTCTTTATGTATAGTGGATATTTTAGTAGTAAACAAACCATAATAGAAAAACCCACGATAAGGAGAACCTTCGCATTGTTTTCCAGTTATTTAAGTCATAGTTATTTATAGAAAATGCATAATTAATTTGAAATATTTATTAGTAAATATTAACTCATAATTTTAAAACTGAAAAGTGTTCAGCTCAGTTTTCTAAGTATAGTTACATAGAATTAAATTTTCAATGGGAGTTATAGACTAATGTTTGGAGTTATTTAATTTTGCTATAAGAATGTAAACTGATACTGATGATAGTTGGTCTCAAAATAACAATACTTTTTGTTCTTGAATTATTAGTTTATATCCCAATATAAAATAATTACATTGTGAGTAATATAATTTATTAGCTGAAATTATACATAATGTATTTAAATATTAGTAAATTGTTATAATTATTTGCAACAAAATATTTCTTTTATTATAATTTTGTTTATAAACAATTGATATATTTCCAAATTTTGTTTTTAATAATCATCCAAAAATATGATTTTATTGTTTTCACAAATTTCTTTTATTTTCTTAGTTAATTAAGACAAGTCAATAAAGGAGGTAGAGAACATTCACATTTTGCTGTATAATTGTCACCGTAAACCAAATCCAATGTATCCATTTTGTTGAAAGTTTTCGATCCAAATTTACATTTTTCCACTGAAAACAAACAATAAATATTTTCTATTTCAAATATTAATTTTATTACCTTTATCAACTGATTTGGATTTTATGAGATTCTCAATTTTTGAATCAGATGCTATAAGAAAAATATAAAATTGAAACTGAATAATTTATATAATTGATTTCTTACGACATATGAAATTTCTAGGGCAACAAATTGGATTTTCAAACTTTGAATATAAAGGAGCGCAGTTGTTCATTATCTGTTTAGTAAATTTGATTTCCACGTCGCATCGTTTTTTTCTGCAGAAAGGTTCCACTAATTTCCCTTCAAAACCCTTCTGACAGACGCAATCCATGCATCTACCATACGGTTGAAATTCTTGTCCTTCTATGTGACTTTCGTGATCTACTACACATATAGCCGCATTGTTATACGGAGCTAGAATTTAGTATAGTTTAAGTCCTAAAGTATATTGTGAGAAATAACTTACCACATTTTGTAGACGGGAAACAACAATTCAGATCACCAGTAAAGTAACAGTCAGATGAAAATCCATATTTACCATAAGGTACTCTTAATATATTCCAATTGATACATGATAATTCGAATCTACAAATTCGAATCTACTAGTTAAAGTGATAAAGGCGTAACATAACTTACTTATTCTGTGAATTTTTGTAGCATTTGCAATAGTTGCAAGGATTGGTTTTGTTAATGGTTTCTCCATTCTTATAAACGTGCGTTTTGAACAAACATCCATTTTTTGGTAATTGATAATTGGAGCAATTGTAAGCTACAGGACAACTAATGTTAACTTCTTTAATTGGTATGCATCCGATTTCGTCGTAAAGCAATGTACCCAAACGATCACAAGAATCAGAAAATATAATAGAGAATGTGTCTATGATGGACAAAACCGTCAATAAAATGACTGAACTTAATGAAACCCAAATCATTTTGTAAACACTAAATACATAACGAATTTGCTCTACTATTTATACAAAAAATGGAATTTTGGTTATTTTAGAAACGAAACAATTGCAATTTTTTTTTATCAAAATTGAAAAATATTTCACATATCCATTAATATTTAATCACACATTGATAAAATAATTCATGTCAAAAAGAGGAGACAGAACGATCGAAGAATTTACAATTTAAAATTCATTGCGTGCTCAACATCAAACGAATTATTTTCATTTTTCAATTTGTATCATTAGAATTTTTGAAAATTGTTTAGTTTTTTAAAGATTGGAAAAATAAATTTATGGATTTATTAATTATAACATACAAAATAATAATTATTGTTGCAACAATAAGAAAGTTAATTACTGCAAAGGGCAACATAAAAAANNNNTATACATTCTTAAACAAATTGATTTTTATTAATTTATCTATGACAAAACTATCTATTTCTGAAATATGTCCAGATTTCTGTAATGTTGTAAAATTGGTGGAACATAAAAACAATATGGAACAATGTGTGGGTCTCAGACATTCATGGTTAGATGTGAAGGAAGACACCAGAGGTGATGAAGTTAAGACTGAAGAAATGAAATGAAGAACCGAGTCTTCCTTTTCGTAGATAATAAGCAAGTGGCGCCAAGAACCATCTCACATTAAGGACCTCACGAAAATTTTATGTTATTGGTGTTAAGTAAGAAATATAGTAAGTTATTTTATTAAAGGATATAGACAGGGCTAAATATAATAAATAAAAGTCCTTTTTTTAGGGTATCTTTCAAATTTTCAAGTACAAGATTTTTACAATTAAAATTTTCAAACTTTAGATTAAGTTAAAAATAATTCTTCTTCTTGTCAGTTGCGACAAGTCAATAGAGGAGGTAGACTACACACGCAATTAGCTGTGATGTTGTTCCCATAAACCAAATCCAATCTATCAAATTTGTTGAAGGTTTGCGTTCCGAATTTACATTTTTCCACTGTAATATTAATAATATTATTTTTCAATTGTATTATTGCATAACTTACCATGATCAGTTGAGTTCTGTTTTACAAGATGTTCAATTTTTGAATTTGATGCTGTAAGGCAATAATGTATGTTGTATTAGTTATTCTGAAAGTTAGATCATGTGTTACTTACGGCAAATGAAATCATAAGGACAACAAATTGGGTAGATATTATTATTATATAATGGAGCGCAATTATCAACTATTTGTTTGGAATATTGGATTTCAACGTCGCATCGTTTTTTCCTGCAGAATGGCTCAACGAATTTCCCATTGTAACCCTTCTGGCAGACGCAATCCAAACATTTACCAGATGGTTGAAATTTTTCACCTTCTATGTATCCTTTACTATCGACAACACAGATAGACATATTTTTATACGGGGCTAGAATGATAAATAATAGTAAATGATGAAAACAAGTACTATGTGTTTTACAACTTACGACACTTCAATTGAGAAGAAATACAATTATTCAATTCATAAGTGTAGTAACAATCAGAAGGAGGTCCATATCCTGGGAATATTGGACCAATAGGACCTTCATATTCCACGTTATAACATTCTATTTTAGATCTGCAAATCACATATACACATTTACACCCAATATTACATAAATAATCAAACCAAAATTTACCCATTTTTAGCATTACCGATACAAGTACAATTATAGCATGGATTTGTACCCTTAATAGCTTCTCCATATTTATAAACATGTTTTTCAAATAAACAACCATGCTTTGGTAATCGATAATTTGAGCAGTTAAATGAAGAAGCACAATCTCCATTACTTTTAATTGGCGTGCATCCAATTTCTTCATAAAGCAATGCACCTGATTTACAAAACATAAATAAAGAATCTGGCAAAATTAAACATTGGACGGATAAAACCGATAATAAAATAACTGCACTTAATGAAATCCACATCATATTGCAAGCACTGAAATACAAATCGAATTTGCACGACTATTTATGTAAATAAATAACAAAGGAATGTAGGTTATTGCGTTTCAAAACAACACATATACAGCTTTTTTTGTGAAAATTGTGAAATATTTTCATATCAATATTTAATCGCACATTGGTAAAATAAGACACGTCAAAAAGCAGCGACAGGACGAACAAGGTATTCACAATTACAAAATCCTTGCATCCTTAACATAAAACGGATGTTTTTATTTAATTTTTTCAATTTTGAATATCAGAATTACATTAAAATTGATCATAGGATAAAAAAATATGTATATGTTATTTACATTTTATATAAATGTAACTACAACAAACAATGATAGATCTAAATAAGTTCAAAATGCGTATAGATAAAATACACATGGTTAAATATGTATATAAAGAATAATTTTATAGAATTATTCATGGTATAAGTAGGTTATTTTCACAAATTTAGAAAAAAGTTTCTTGCTTAGACTGGAAATGTGATTTTTTTTAAATCTTATCTAAGACAGGTCAATAGAGGAGGTATAGAACACCTACAGTTGAATGTGACGTTGTATTGATTAATCAAATTCAAAGTGTCATATTGGTTGAAGGTTTGCGTTCCAAATTTGCATTTTTCTCCTAAAATATTCAAAATATTATTTTATTTTATAATTTATCATTGTATCATTTACCATTAGTTGACTTGTATTTCACGAGGTGCTCAATTTTTGAATTTGACGCTGAAAGGAAACAGTACAAGTTTTATTAGATTTTCTGAAACTTTGAGTTGATGTAATGATGCTTACGACAAATGAAATCATAAGGACAACAAAGAGGATAATTATTTTTTAAATATATTGGAGCGCAATTATCAACAATTTGTTTAGAATATTTTATTTCTATGTCGCATCTCTTTTTCATGCAGAAAGGCTCAACGTATTTTCCATTGTATCCCTTTTGGCAGATACAATTCAAGCATTTACCAAGTGGTTGAAATTTCTCTCCTTCAATGTAACCTTTATGATTGTCAACACAGACGGACATATTTTTAGAGGCTAGAAAATAAAATAATAGTAAATTATAAATATTTTTAATGTACACTTACGACATCGAAGGTAAGGAAAACATTGATTCAGTTCATAACTGTTGTAGTTTCCATATAAAGGAATTGAAACCACTGGACCTCTATATTCGCGGTAACGACATTCTATTTTAAAACTGAAAGATACAAAATAATACTCATTTTATATAAACAAACAAAATACCTATTTTTTGCATCACTGGTACATGTGCAATTATAACAAGGATTTGTACCCTTAATAATTTCTCCATTCATATAAACATGTTTTTCAAACAAACAACCCTGCTTTGGTAATCTATAATTTGAGCAATTGTACGAAGAAATGCAATTATGGAAACCATTGATTGGTGTGCATCCGATTTCTTCGTAAAGGAGCGTTCCTGATTCGTCGCAATAATATAACCAAGGTGGTAAAAGACACTGGACGGACAACACCGACAACAAAATAAGGGAAACCAACATTATATCGCTAACCTTAAAATAAATTAAATTCGCTTGGTTATTTATATAAATATTAGGGAATGTATATTATTTCGTTTCAAAGCACAACATGTTTACTTACAGAAACAATTGTACGATAATTGCAAATTGTTCTAATTCTTTGACAATCATGCATTGTTTTATATTTTTATTTATTATATAAGTGTGTAGTTAAAAATAAATTTCTGGAAATTTATTGGAATACGTTCAGGTAGAAGATATAATATTTTATTTAATCAAATGATTGAAACATATTTAACAAAATTTATTTAAAACACATGTTAAAATTATTCAAGTTTTGATTAGTTTGTTTGTTAAAAAGAAAGTTAATAGGCTGAAAATGTTATTCTTTCAGTATTATCCTAGACAAGTCAATAAAGGAGGTATAGAACACCTACAGTTGAATGTGACATTGTATTGATTTACCAAATCAATTACATTTTTCTACTAAAAAAATAAAGTATTTACATTTTTCTATTAAAATTAAAATATAAATGATTACCATTGCCAGTTGAGTTACGTTTTACAAGATGCTGAATTTTTTAATTGGATGCTGAAATAAAACAACACAAGTTTTATTAGATTTTCTGAAAGTTTGAGTTGATGATGCTTACGACAAATGAAATCATAAGGACAACAAAGAGGATAATTATTTTTGAAATATATTGGAGCGCAATTATCAACTATCTGATTGGAGTATTTGATTTCAACGTCACATCGTCTCTTTCTGCAGAAAGGCTCAATAAATTTCCCACTATATCCTTTCTGGCAGACGCAGTCCAAACATAGGCTGGAAAGTGTTCTCCTTCAATGTAACCTTTGTGATTAACTACACAGATGGACATATTTTTATATGGAGCTAAAATTTGAAATTATTATGTAATAAAATTATATGTTCTTTGCGTAAAAGTACTTACGACATTTTAAAGAATAGAAACATTTATTCAAATCATAACTGTCATAACAATCAGATGGAATGATATCGGGTGATATGTGTGGTCCTGGAGAAATTATGCGTTTGGGATATTGACATTCTATTTCTGATCTGCAAGATAGGATAATTCATCAATATTAAAAATACCGTTAATTTATAATAATTTACCCATTTTTTCCATTATTAGAACATGTGCAATTATTGCAAGGATTTGTGCCCATAATAGCTTCTCCATCTTTGTAAACATGTTTTTCAAACAAACAACCCTGCTTTGGTAAGTGATAATTTGAGTAGTTGTATGATTTGGGACAATTACGAAAACCATTATTTATTTTGTTGGGTGCGCATCCAATTTCGTCATAAAGCAACGTTCCTGATTCGTCACAAGGACGTCGAATAGGAATATGAGGAGGAAAATAATACCCTAAAATGCATTGAAAGGACAAAACCGACAACAAAATAAGGAAATTGAATAAAATCAACATTATAGTACAACACTTACAAATAAATTGAATTCGCTTGGTTATTTATATGAAAATAGGGAATGCAGATTATTTCGTTCGCATCACAACATGTTTACTAGCGGAAACAAAGTTTGCTGAAAATGCACGATAATTGCAAATTGCTATAATTTCCCTACAATCAAGCATTGGTTCATTTGAAATTCCATCGATATTTAATAACGCATTACTATAACTTTTACAAAATTGTGCAAGTCAACAAGCGTACGCGACAGCTCGGCGACGGTGTTTTCATATGTCTCTGCAATTGTCGGATTGTCTGAGCAAGCTCTACGCTTCTAGTTTGTCCACTATCACTTTCTTCCCTTTCTCTCTCCATCCACCGTACCCCTGCTACGTTTGTTGTGATGATGTCCCAATATATAAAGACCTAGATCTATTATAAATGTATTTGTTTTCGTTATCCATAATAAACCTTAAAATTAAAAAATAATCTAAAATATAATTAGATTAATAATTGTTATTATATATTATTAATAAAAACAAATTATTAATGTATTGTTATTCATATGAAATAATAACAATTAATAAACTAATTTTATTATAAAATATTTCTTATTGTTAAATTTTATTATTAATAATTCAACAAAATCAAATTAATTAATAATAATTTATTGTTATTAAAAATATATAACCCAATCTACAACGGCGGAAGATCGCACGAGCAATTCTTATTTCTAATTGGATTTCCATCCTAATTCAAACGATCGTTCACATCGAATAAATTGGATCCAAATTTACATTTTGCTGAATCAACAAAAAAAAAATGGATAAAATGCAGTTTTAATGAAAAATAATTTAATCGCCTATAAATTATTTGGTTTATACAACATTTAACATTTGAAGGTTATAGAACAACAATGGGCATTGTATGATTCGTATATTGGACCACATGATTGGACCACATGTTCTTTGGAATTCTTTAATTTGACATTGCTGTTTTTTGCAAAAAGGCTTAATGAAATTGCCGGAAAATGATAATAGAAGGCAGATGTTATTAAAGCACATACATTTTGGTCAAAATTGTTTGCGATGAAGGCTTACATTATATAGCATGTAAACATATTTGTTATAGTTTTATTTACATCACTCATAACATAACATTCTCGTGATATAAACTATAAGAGATAAAATTAGCTCATAATACAATAGGTTAAATTAAAAATTTGTATCAATATTTCTGGTATGAAAGGGACAGGTTATAATCTCACCAAAGGTACAATAAATTTGTGGAGGATTATGGTCTTAAGATGAAAAAATAATAATACTTATATCATAGTTTATTTAAATTTTTTGTTGCAAATATATAACCTTTTAAATATTTATTTATAAGAAACATGTGATAGTTCTTAAAATAAGTCATCCGCAATTATTATGAACATAGTTTTCAAATTATATTTTTATAGTTTATATTTCGCCAATGTATCGAAATTTTAGGTAGAAGTTATAATATTTTAATTAATCAAATGGTCGAAGCAAGGTTATATCTAACAAAATTTGTTTAAAACTATTATTCAAGTTATGATTAGTTTCTTTATAAATCAAATTGTTAGGCTGCAAAATGTTATTATTCTTCAAGTGTTATCTGAGACAGGTCAATAGAGGAGGTATGGAACACCTACAGTTAAATGTGACGTTGTATTGGTTAACCAAATTCAAAGTATTGTATTGATTGTAGGTTTCAGATCCAAATTTACATATTTCTACTGCAGAACTAAAATATATGTATTTTTAATTATAATTTAATATATAAATAATTACCATTGCTAGTTGAGTTGTAATTGAAAAGATGTTCAATTTTTGTATTTTGTGCTGAAAGAAGACGATACAAGTTTAATTAGAATTTTAAGTTAAAGTTAAAGTCATGAGTTGCTTACGGCAAATGAAATCATAAGGACAACAAAGAGGTTCGTTTTCATGATATATTGGAGCGCAATTATTAACTATCTGATTGGAAAATCTGATTTCAACGTCGCATCGTTTCTTCATGCAGAAAGGCGCAACGAATTTCCCATTATATCCTTTTTGGCAGACGCAGTCCAAGCATCTGTCAGAAGGTTGAAATTTCTCTCCTTCAATGTAACCTTTGTTATTGACAACGCAGACTGCTAAATTTTTATAAGGAGCTAAAATTTTAAATTATAGTAAATGATAATATGTAACTACGCGTGAACTTACGACACATTATTTTAGAAAAAAAACATTTATTTAAATCATAACTGAAGTAACAATCATTTGGAACAAATATAACTGGACCTAGACCTCCTATAATTCTGGGAGAATGACATACTATTTTAGATCTGAAAAATATGAAATTGTTTTATAATCAACATATTTTAAACATACACAAAATTACCCATTTTTGCCATTATTGGAACAAAAGCAATTATTGCAAGGATTTGTGCCCTTAATAGCTTCTCCATCTTTATAAACATGTTTTTCAAACAAACAACCCTGCTTTGGTAAGTGATAATTTGAGCAGTTGTATGAAATGGGACAATTATCAAAACCATATTTTATTTTGTTAGGTGCGCATCCAATTTCGTCATAAAGCAACGTTCCTGATTCGTCACAATTACGTTGAATAGGAAGAGGAAAAGGAATATAATACCCTAAAATGCATTGAACGGACGAAACCGAAAACAAAATAAGGGAACTCAATAAAATCAACATTATAGCACAACACTTCAAATAAATAAATTCAAATTTGCTTGGTTATTTATATAAAAATTAGGGAATGCAGATTATTTCGTTTCAAAGCACAACATGTTTACTATTTTGCTAAAAATACACGATAATTGCAAATTGTTATAATTCCCTTACAATCAAGCATTGTTTGATTCAAACATCTACATACATGCAGTTCCATAAAGAGTTAATAACGCATTGCTACAACTTTTACACAATTGTGCAAGTCAACAACGAGGAAAAAACGCACAAGCAATATGCATTTCCAATTGGATTTCCAACCAAATCCAAACGATCGTTCACATCGAATAAATTGGATTTTGTACCAAGAAATTGGATTTAATGCAGTTTTAATTATAAATCATTTAATCACCTTTAAATTTAGTTTTTGCTAAAAAAATTATTCTTTATTTAATTACAATTGCTTACGACATATGAAGGTTACATATGCCCAAAGGGCATCTTTTGATCAAAATATTGGATCACATGATGACGAATTTCCCGGAAAATTCTTCTTGGCAGATACAACCCAAGCATGTACCTTTTGGACGAAAATATTCACCTTCTTTGTAAGTATGACCGTTAATCAGAAAAGTAGGTAATTTGTCAAAAGGTGCTAAAATATCGTAATTTAATATATTTAACTTATTTGTTATACTTTTATTTACGGCACTGTATTTAACCATGCGAGCAACAGTATTTTAAATCTCCCATAACAGAACAACCTTGTGGTACGGACAACAATTGGGCAAAATATGAAAATAGATATACAACTCACTTTTGGATTAAAAACAATACTTAATAATTTCAAAAATAATACAATTAGTAAATTGAAAGTTATTTTCTGGATAAATAAGGATTCGTTCCTAATGATTGATCCGTTTCGATACGTTTTTCCTTTAAATTTACAGACATGTTTTGGTAGACAACCGTTACAATAAAGCAATGTTCCCAACTTGTAGCAATATTCACTTGAAATTTTCTTAATTACTGTAAAAAAAAATATTTTAAAAGATAAATCAATTATACCTCGACATATAGAATAAAATAAACAATAAATGTAGAAAAAATACGTTGTTAAATAACAATATGTTTTATTTTAGTTGCAAAAATGTGGTTTTGTAACTTGGGTTACGTGTGATAACAAGGAAAATTCAATTTACAAAATAAACACGAAAACGTATACAAACTATTTATTTTTTAACAATTACGTAAAAAAATATGATAATAACATTTATAAATTTGACCTACAAATTAATTTTATAATGTGATAAAATTTTGAAAACGCACGATTTCATTAATGATTCATAGTTTCATTGGAAATACTGATAACATGTAAACAACATTATAAACATAATTTTCAAGTATTTATTTGTTCAACTTATATTATTTCATTAAAGTAGAGTACTTTACAAATAATGAAGGAATGAACAGTTTGAATTAACTATGAAACTTTAATTGCGAGTAAATCTAAAGTAATTAACAGCGGAATTCCGACTATAAATTATTACGAAAGTCATTAACACCTTTTGAAGCTTATAGAGTACAATGAAACGAGCCTAATTGACGGTAATTGTAAATTCTCTACTAAATAAAGGCTTTAGTTTAATGAGCTTAGAATTATCTAATATTAAAAAGATAACATTTTCGCTATATCATATAGTTTATTGCTAAATTACAATAATAAGTGTATGTAGCTAATGTGAATTAAATTTTACCTTTACAGGTCAAAAACGGAGGTAATGAACAAACGCAATTAGCTGTGCGCTTTTTACCATCATTTTTGTAAACTAAAGTAAATGCATCGTTTTTATTGAACCATTTCGATCCAAATTTACATTTGGTGCCTATAATAAAATAACAATTAAATTAAAATTAATGATATTATATGAAAGATTTACCTGTTTCTTTCTTTGATCGCACCAGATTCTGTATTTTAGAACCAGATTCTGTAAAAAATAAGTAAATTAAGTTAATGTATTTTTGTACGTATATCATTTTTTACGGCAAACGAAATTTCTCGGACAGCAAAGCTTATTAGAGTTGATGTCGTAGAGTGGAGCACAGCTATTTTCGATCTCTTTCTTGTAAGTTATTTGCACATCGCATCTCATCTTCCTGCAGAACGGCGCAACCAATTTGTTATCAAATCCCGCCTGACATACGCACTCTAAACAGGTGTTAATAGGATGAAATGATTGCCCTTCCAAGTGCGGAACGTTATTTACCACGCAAATATTCGTATGTTTGTATGGAGCTAAAACCAAAAGTAGTTATCTGAAATAATATTATCTTAATAGAAATATACGGCATCTGGTTATTAGGCAACATCGATTTAGTTCGATGACGTGGTAACAATTTCCAGGTAAAACTGGTCCGGGTCCCAACCTCCAGCAAAAAGGTGGATCGCAAACTATATTTGTTCTGAAATATTTCACTTTAGTAATAATTAATTATTAACTCGTTTAGATTCATTTATACCCATTGCAGTAACAAATTTTACAAGGATGTGCATCATTTATAGCTTGACCATCCTTATAAACGGTACGATGAAACAAGCAACCTTTTTTTGGGGCTTTAAGATTTGAGCAGTTGTATGAAGTCGTACAATTGTTGCTTCCCAATACCGATTTACAAGCTAATTCCTCGTAAATCAAGCTACCATCTATAGTACTATTGCAAACACAGTTTGCTAAAAAAAAACTATAATTAATTTAATCAATTTTAATATTTTACTTTACCATTCACTGCAATAGTGGAGAATAAAATTAAAAATTTTGTTAGCCAATACATATTTTTACCAGAATGTAACACTGTTTGTTAATTATCCTTATATACTCGACTAGCAAACATTTCACACGCGCGATAAGATAGAAAGTATTACAGAAACGATCACTTTTTTTTAATTATTAGATAAAAATGTGAAAATAATAATTTACTGGCATGATAAAAATATAAATGTTAAGTTAAATAAAATAATATAAATTCATACAAAAAAAAACTGAAATACGAATTATTGCAAAATAATATTAATAATAGGTTATTACATAAGTCCGTTCGTATTTTGGTGTGCACACGTTGATGTTCAATGGACGGTGTATTGATAGGTGTGGAGGGAGTGGTGATAACGATAGTTGTAGTGTACAGTTCTGACTACATTTTAGAGTAAAGTTTATTTAGTTTTGCTATCTAGTAAACCTTGTGTAAATTAAACTAGAAAACAAAATCGAGAATTGTCTGCTTTTCAAGCTATATTATTTTCGAAAAGGAAAATCGCAATTCAAGGGGCCAAAAATATATGCGATGTCCAGAGGGTATCTGCAGCTACGGATCGCGTGGTTTAGGAGCTGTGGGTTCGAGCTTGCAGAGTGAGAACACCTCACTCAATAAGTTCGTAGATTTAAACGCGGTCATACAAACACAAATGATGCTAAACGCTCTGGTCGCCCAAATTCTGAAATTGTTGCAGAAAACATAAAAAAGTCCACAAAATGGTTTTGGCCAATTGTAAATTAAAGTTGCGTGAGATTGCTAACACCCTGAATATATCAGAAGGTAGTGTATTCACCATTTTGCGTGAACATTTGATCAAGAGAAAGCTCTGTTCGAAATGGGTACTGCGTTTGCTCAAAGTGGAGTGCTTTCCCATCCACCATATTCTCCACATCTGAATCCTAGCGACTACTACCTGTTTGCAAACCTAAAAAGGAAGCTCAAGGAAGGAAGCCCTTATTTTTAAGGGAACGGTTTTCTCGGATATTTGTGTTTATGTTAAGGAGAAGTTTTAAAAGGAAAAGTTTGTGAAAAGACTTCGATGCCAGACATAGTCGAACGCCTGGGACACGTCAATGAACAAAGTGCTCGAATGTCCCGCACTCGAAGTGAGATATCTGGAAATTGGAAGTTGTGATAGTGAGAAGGACGATATTGAACTTCGCAACACGAAATATGAAAATAGATTTCTTCAAACATTAAACTAAATAAAAGTTATTTACAAATAATTTATGTATTTACTTGAGTTAATGAATTTAAATTTATTTATTAACAAAATTTATCAAGACACTTTTATGTGTTTAAATTTTCCAGTCCATTAAACTGTAAGTAATAAAATATTATTTAAAAATAAAAAAATATTAAAAAAAATATAAAAACTATAACGAGAATAAAGAACTTTCAAGAAACAAATTAAATTTTCCATTTCCAACAAAATTAAATAAATATTTTTATGTTGCAATTATTTTATTTGTTCCGTTAATGTTTATTTGTCATAGATTCTTTTAATAATCTGATTTGCATGTCAATGAAGGTGGCAAAATGCAAGAACATTCAGCTACTTTCTCTTCATAAATATTATAAGTTAAATTCATGATGTCGTTGATGTTGAATTCGAGTTCGCCGAAAACGCATTTATCTACAGAAAACAAATCAAAATTAAAACAAATTTTTTTTTTTTATAAATGTTCTTACCATCTGTAATGCTAGTATTTTCAACGACTGTAATATTCAAAGTTTTGGAAGCTAAAAGATGATTTAATTATAAATATTTGATGCAAAAAATATAATAAAGATTACGTACGACAAATATAATGGATTGGACAGCAAAGAGCATCGGCTGTTTTAATATAAGCAGGAGCACAATTTTCAGAAATTTCCTTTGCAAATCGTATTTCCACGTCACATTGAATGCGTCGACAAAAAGGCTCAACGAATTCACCAGTAAATCCTTTTTGGCACACGCACGATAGGCATTGTCCTTCCGGTTGGAAATGTTGTCCTTCTTTGTAAGTTTTGCCGTCAACTTGGCAAATTGCAGAATCATCAAATGGTGCTACAATATGTTCAATTAAAAAGAAATTAATATATTACTATTAAGCAACTTACGACACTTTTGACCAGAAGGACAACAGGAATCCAAATCATCAGTTTGGTAACAATTCTCGAATACATTCCAGTTGCAATCGTAGACTGCACAATTAATACTTGGTCTAGATAATTTTAATTAAAATCTATATGTTATTAAATTAATTATAACAATAAATACCCAAATGTTTCATCAATGCTACAAATGCAAGCTGGATTACAAGGAGCTGTACCATTTACGTTTTCATTATCTTGATAAATTTGTCCTTTGAAGATACAAGTATCATTTGGTACGGTGTAATGAGAGCAGTCAAAAGATTTTGGACAACCAGTTGGTCCCAAAGTCGGAGTACAACCAATTTCTTCATACGGTAAAATTCCCAAATGATCACAAATCTCGTAACCTAAAAAAAAGATCGATACAAATCATTATAAACAAAACGAAATTGATATTTAATAACTACAAAAAAAAGATGTTAATAATTGTACGTTTTACCTTGAATCACGGCGATTATAATGCAAAAAACGAAATTGGTTATGCGAAGAATCCTGTTGGATAGCACGGAAAACACTGACGCGTCGTCCGAATACTGAGTATATTTATACTTATTCGAAAAGCACACAATCTTATTTACAGAAAAGGATAAAAAACTTTAAAACAATAGTGTTTTATGGTAAAGACAATTGTATTGCATTTCCATTGTATTTCATTTTTTTTACTCTTCTTTACAATGTAATTGGATGAAAAATTGTGAAATGAATTTTGCATTAATTCAATTAATAAAAAAATTAATTAAAAAAATTCTGAATCACAGTATTTATTTTATTTAATACTTGAAAATCAATGACTAAAAATCTGATCTGCATGTCAAATGCGGTGGTAAAATACAGGAACATTCTGCTACTTTCTGTTGATTATATCTGTTATAAGTTAAGTTTAAAACGTCGTTGATGTTGAATTCGAGTTGGCCGTAAATACATTTGTCTTCGGAAACGGTAGAATCTTCAACGGCAGATATACTCAACGTGTTTGACGCTAAAAGATATTTAGAATCAACGGAATTGGGTGTAAAAGTAAAGTAACATTACGTACGACAGCAAAGGGCATCTGCAGTTCTAGTGTAAGCAGGAGCACAACCTTCAGCAATCTTCTTGGCGAAACGCAATTCCAAGTCACAATTAACACGGCGACAGAAGGGCTCAACGAATTCGCCAATAAATCCCTTCTGGCAAACGCAATTTAAGCATTGTCCTTCTGGTTGGAAATATTCTCCTTCCCTGTAAGTTTTACCATCGACTTGGCAAGTACCCAAATCATCAAAAGGTGCTTTAAGAAGTCCAATTATTAAATGTTAAATACACGTTTTGTTGCCATTAACTTACGGCAGATTTGATCGGTGGGGCAACAAAGATCCAAATCATGAACTCGATAACAAACGTTGTAAACATTAAAGTGGCAACCAATCGCAGCGCAAATAATTTTGGGTCTAAAATATATTGATTAAATTTACTATTATTTTAACTAATTATAAAGTAATACTCAAAAGATTCTTCAGCGTTGCAAAAACAGCCTACATTACAAGGATTAGTACCGTTTATTGACTCGCGATTTTGGTAAGTTTGTCCTTTAAAGATACAACCATCGCTAGGCACTTCGTAATGAGAACAGTCAAACGATTTTGGACAACCATTTGGTCCCAAAGTCGGAATACAACCAATTTCTTCGTAAGGCAAAGTTCCCAAATGATCACAGATTTCTTGAGCTATAAAATAAAATTGACTTCAATTTAAATTTAACAAATTTTCAAAATAAATTTATTTATATGATATTTATGTATTTAGATAATGTGATTAAAAACATCAATATATTGTCGAAATATCACCTTGAATCACAGAGCTTGCGACGCAAAAAAGCAGGAGATTGGTGAGGCGAATATTAATGTTGGATAGCTCGGAAAACACTGATTCGTTGCCCGAATACTGAGCATATTTATACTCATTCGTAAAGCATATTTATTTTTAATTACATGAAGGAAAAAAATAATAATTTTAACAATAGTATTTTCTGTGGAATCCTTTGATGCAGAGACATTGTTTTACATGTTATTTATTTAGCACTTGATCTCGGAGATACAATTTGATAGGAGTTACAGGAAATATTCCATTTCATTACAATTGTGTACATTTACTCTACTTTAGAGTGAAATTAGATTAAAAAATATGAAATTATTATTTTACAAATATATATTTATGGTAATTTTTGGATAAATATAATCATAGTTCTGATTCATATTAT